GTGTAGGTCCTGTGGAGAAAATACTTGACTTGTGGATTGTTTTCCCTGAAACAGCAAAAGTGTGTGAGGACTTCACAAAGTAATACATTACCTTGACTGCACTTTAAAGGAATGATTACAATCCCATAAAGAAAACTTGCTAGTAAAGGGGAAGTCAATCGAAGGGATCAAGATGCTTCGAAAGGAACTAACGTGAAAATATTCTTTGCAGAAAGTTTGATCAAGTGAGGCCCTCAGACCTCAGACGGCTGTTCCAGGCGCAATCTATATTCACTCTATTCCTAGGTATCACTTCATGGCCTCATAAGATTTAAAGATACTACATCAAGACTACACGACGACGGGAAGTGCCGAAAGTGTAAAGTGCCCCTCCCCCTGCTCAAATCGAACTGCGCCCTAGACTATAAAAGCCACCAATATCACTACTGGACAACTACCAATATGAACAAATGGGAACCCATAAAAACCGTACCGTATAGTTGGTAAGAACTCCTCCACGAACTGCTCGACTCCTTCACTTCGCAGCGAATTGTGAGTCCAACTCAACCGCAGCCCAACGAAGTTCGGTACAAACCGAATCAAAGCCGCTGATACCGCATTTTGGGGCCGGAAGATGGGATTGGCCCCAATGGACATAACGGCTGAATTAATCAAGCTGCATCCACACGCTGTTTTTTTAAGCGACATAGGTACTACTAAAGGATGAAGTATTGCGATATCCAATCGATAACACCTCACTGCGGTAAAAAAACCCGAATCGATTAATTTTTATTCTTCATGGAAAAACATGTACACCGTCGGCGAACGAAACAATCAAAATTATGTACATAAATAGAAATACTATACAATCTGCAGAAAGACATAAAATGGAAATCATTTCTCCATGATGTCTCTGATATTCCGATAGGTCATTGTGTCTTCAGGCATTTCTTCTCCAAGTTCTTTCAAAAGAGCAGCATGGAACTTCTTATACGTCTCAACTTTACCGTTTACCTGGAAATAAGTTAACCAGTAAGGGAGTTTACACGAAATTCAAATTCGGAAAGCTTCCCGGCGCAGTTCGGCGACGGGGGGGGGGGGCATTTTGCACTTTTCGCTACTTCCCATCGACGTGTCGACCCATCTAGACAGCCTCTTCTCGAGTTGACAGGTTTTACCATGATGGCTTGACGAGCTTGCTCCAGCTTCACAAGAGTTCACAGGTTTCACCAGAGTGAGACTTGTAACCGGAACTAGTGAAGCAACGAAAGTGCAAAATGCCCCTCCCCCGTCGCCGAACTTCCTCAATCAAACAACGACACGGCCAGCGGCACACGATGG